TAGGTATGTACATAAAAATATAATTTAATTTTTATTCACAACTCACTGTACCTTTATTGTGGTTAAATAATTGGTAGTATTATAAATTATAATAAATACAAAATTAAATGTAAAATAATAATAATTATTATTATTATATTTATAGAAAATTACTAAAATTATAAAAAGTATGACGTTCAAAATATAGATACTTACCTACCTTAATTTAAAACAAGCGATTTATTCTAATGGAATTGATGTATTATGTGAAATACAAAAATGTTTTTATCAAAATATTGTCGAATATTACTCTTGACTAAATTTTGAAATTTATGTAATTTAATTTTTGTTGATAAAAAAAAATTTGCTAAATTATGAATAATTTAATATAAAATATACTAATAAGAAAATATGATACTATAATATAACATATTATTTAGTTTATACTATAGTGCCTTCGACTCTCATAAAACATTTAAAAATTCTAATGTGTTATGATATATTATTTATGTACTGATATGCGTTTATAAACACATACCGTAATTTAGTTGAACATGGTATTTTTGGTGGTAAGATGTGGTCATGACGTGTTTTCGAGAGAGTAATAGAATAAGGGTGAAGAGACGGTGAGTGGAAACGTTCGTTTGTGTGTGGCGCCGAATAGTGTTTTTTTCGTGGTGCCCCGCCGGAAGCGGTGAACAATATTTTAAAGCAGCCAGAAATGTCTCGGCCAAAAGTTGTTCGGGACAATAAAACCAATGATATATGAACATTTTTTAACGGTAAAATAATAATAGAAAAAATAATAACGAATAGTATACAATATGCATTTTAATATAACAGAAAAATGATAGGGTGGCGTCATGGCCATTTGAATAATCCTCATCTGTGGCTAACTATAGTGTATATATTATTATATCGGTATTTAATTTTTTTAAACATGACGCTCATTATAATTAACAACAATGACAGGAATAGGAACGTTAGGGACAAAAATCAGATGAACAGGACGAATGTGAATGTGAATGTATATGTATATAAAATATAAATAGCGACTTGTATGGATAAGGTATGTTTAAATTGATAAATTAACGTGTGCCAAAAATATGTCATTGGTAAGTGACATATTTTGCTTAATGTAATTTTGAAAAGAACTCGTTTATTAATTTTTTTGTTTTAAACAATTGTAATAACATCTTATGATGACAGAAAAATAAATAATTGAAATAAAATAAAAAATAATATATTTTTATTAATATGTTTAAATGTGAGGTTTGATTACATATTTATTAACCAATTATCATCTTTTATAGATGTCTTATTACAATAATCAATAATACCAATAAAAAAAAAAATCTAAAAATTGAAATACTAAGAAACATTCATTACAGTACTTGCTTGAGTGCTTCAATATTAATTATTATGTCCAGTAAAACTATTAACTATTTAATAAACCACAACAAAAATATGATACATTTACTGTACATTATAAAATTATTTTATTTTTTTGTAAGTAATTAACAATGAATTTTATAGCATGTTCCATAAAAGGTTGAATATCAATGCAATTAAAACAAAATGCCAAAAATATAATAATAATATGTTATATACTTCTTATTAATGTTAGACAGTTTATTTAAAAGTTAAAAATAATAACAATTCTAATTTTGCGTAAATATGTGAAATAACATATCAATATTGTTTCAAGCTGTGTATTTTCATATTATAATAAAAATAAATAAATACGGAAAAAACTTAGGTATTAAAAAAATTATATATAAATATGTATGAAATAAATTTCTATCAAACAGTACTTAAACTGTCTTAAAATATCTAAAACGAAAATATGCAAATTTTACAACTTGAGTATGTACCTACTAGTTTAGAGCTTTTAAGTTACAATACCAAGTATATGAATCTAGTTGTTTTACTTAAATAGTTTGTATAGCTCACAATGAACTTTTTTTTTTTTTGAAAATAATTATTCTCACCGACAAGGATTTTTTTTATTACGAAAATATAATCAGATAGTTTTTAATTTAATTATTTAATGAATTTTTAAACAAAAATATTTTATAATGTTTAAACAATCAAAATAATAAAATAGTTTTTATTAATAATTACGAATAAATTAATCTAATATTCATGAATTTTAAATAACGTATTCTAAAATTAGTTATTTTAATAATTTTAACTAGATAATTATGAATTTATGATTTCATAGTTTTTATATATTCATTTAAGTATTTTAGTAAGAGTACAAATAAAATAAAAATATGCATTCAGTTTTATCATACTCTTACAAAATTATTAAAATATAAAAATAAAAATAATCATTTTTCGTGAATATTACGGTTTTATAATTATTTTTATTTTAATAATATTTTTTTCTTTACTTATAATTGAATTTTACTGATATTTAAATATAAATTTAATTACGATAATTTTGATGCATGACAAAATAAACGTTTTAGTATGAAATGCAAACATTTAAAAAAGAATATATATATATTTACAGTTTTTTTTTTTTTTACCTGCTTAATAATAATTTAATAAGATTTTAATAGTTATTCTTCCCATGGTTTTAATTTATTTATTTTTTATCGAAAAGTGAAAACTATCAACTATATTGGTGTATCATTCTAAGCCACTGTACAATACATAGTGATAGTGACTAACTAATAAATTTGTGTCAACTGTTGCAAACAAACACAGTTAAAAATAAAACAGCTCATAACTTATTTTAATAAAGAATCACGTAGTAAATCATATGAAACCTATTCAAATATCGCACAGTAATTCATTCGTCCCTCATTGCTTCAGGGATTTATCCGTACAAAACATTTCCGTAAATACACAGTAATATTATTATTTTTTATTATTTCACAAAAATCCATTTATTCCGCCCATTTCTGCGACATTTTTTTTTTGTTTTTTTTTTTTGCCTTCACATTTTTAATAATATATCGCAAGATATCACATTGCCAGATTTCCTTTGCACCACTCTCCGAAAACTATATTGCCCATTTGGCACCAAGCGCGGGCTTTTCCATTCCTTCACCCACTGTTACGTTATTACCGTTATTATTACACGTGTGAACGCGACAGCCGAAATGGGTGACAGAAAGTTACTTGGCTTTTTATATTATTCACGTCGACTCGCAAAGTAATTCCATCAAAACTGCACATGAAATTGCTTACGTTTTGGAAACTGAATTCCAGAGTCTTTCGCTCTTGGAATACGAGTATAGTAACCCACCGGCTACCCGAACAACGTGTAACGGACGTTCAACACGAAAAAATAGTATATTTAATATAGTTTTCCGATTAATGGAAAAAAAAATAAAAAAGTGAACTTGTATTCGATATATGTAAAAGTAGATAATATGCAAATGCGAATGATCAGCATCCCTTTGTAGAGAACACGATCGGATATTTTCGATTGTCAGCAATTTTACATTATAGGTTTTGTCGTCTTTTAGATATAAATATGCATAGCTAGTCTGAATATATATAAATATGTAGATATGTGTATTTTTATGTATAAGTATCTATAGTAGTCAGTTGATATATAAACTATAATGTTATTTAGTATACATTATTGTTTGCGCGCGTAGAGACACTATACATACGAGTATGAATGGAAATTTTATATAATATGAGAAACAAGAAGATAAGAATAGCATGTCTCAACTGTTCACGCGACGACACTCCCGACAGTGTTATTTATATGTATACGTGTAGGGTAATATGTATATATATATAATATATATATATATTTATATCTTATTATTTATTATTATTATTATACATTATACATACTGACACGCCTTCAATGCCAATAACCCAAATGCACAAGATTTATAAGAATTGCAATGTAAAGCATTGAGTCGCCGGAATTCATAAAGGTATCTACCTACAGAATCCTGCAATAAAAACATTTATAATTAAATAATGCGATGCTAAAATATGTTTATTGTTATTATTTTACTATTATTATTATTTTACGAAGACTATGGCATGTAAAAAAAGAAAAATACACCACTGACGGTGGTTTTTTGGATAAAGGCGCAGTTTTTGTCGAATTATAAACTCGCTCGTGGTGCAGTGATTTTGGTTGGAAGACAATAGTATCTTCTGAGAGACTTGGCAAAATATCAAAACCAAGCGTACTTGGGATTACTGTCTAAATGAAATGTTTTCACCGCGACAAATGTTTGTAAATGTACGCATACACGTCATACACACATACACTTGCACCCACAATTCCATAACATATTATAATGACGACATATGTTGTTGTTTTTTTTCAAATTTAAATATTATTTTCAGATATTTATAAATAGAATAAGTTTATTCATTTTTACGTCACAGCTACATTTTTCAAATGTATAATATGTATATATATAATATATATATATGTGTGTGTGTGTGTTTTATATAGACACATTACAGTAATATTTTATAAGAATACATGTATAAGGAGAACAGCCTGCAGATTATTCAACAACATTTACATTTAACATACGTCATTATAGAAACTTGTTTGTGTTTAAGGTCAAGACATTAGTAATAGAAGTACATTATAAATATAACTATCTCAATTTTCCAATTAAAACTTTAATATGTTGGGAAATCTATGCACAACAATCTTATTGATACCCAATCTCACTAAGTATGAACAACCCTAAACTTCGAATATTAACTCAAAGTTTGATGATCTACGTCTGTATATAATAGTTTGAAACAATTTTAGTATTAAAATGTAATTTACAATTATTATTATAATTAATAATTAAGCATAGTACAATTGTTAAAATAATTACTACGGATATTAGATTTATTACATTATTTTTAAAATAATTACATATACAATACCAGTGTGTTAACGTAAAGACTTAAAAAATGAGTGCACTAATTCTTTGTAATCAACTATTTGTATTTATAAAATATATTTCAATGATAAAAAAAATATCATTGCGATTGGATGGTTTTCATTTAAATATTCTTTATGTTTACAGGTGATGGTCAAAGTACAGATTCACCTGGTTTCGAGCTTTTCGATTCAGATAACGGCCACGATCTCACGCTATCACCACAAACTTTTACAGCTAATACCACAGCAGAGTCTTTTCTAGTCAACGACAACTCAAACAGCATAGGAATACCCGTCAATGAGTCTGATACAGGTAATATTAATATTCTGTTGTAGCAAATATTTTAACCATTTAAAAATTAAATATTTACAAATAACTTTTTACTCCCTAGAGAGATTTATAAAAACGTATTATTATATTATAAGTAGAAATGTTTACTTTGTAACTGCGGAATTATGACGGTACTCTTATATTATAAATTATTCTATTTGTCAAGTCAGATATTAGATATATAATAGTAGAAAGTATAATTTAAAAGAAAAACTCAACCAGTGATAACAAACATAACAAGAATTGCATTATAGTTTTTTGTTATTTTATATTTTTACTCTCTAAATAAATAGTAACAGTAGACAAATAACCTATTGTTTCCCAATAATATTTACATTGTTTTTAGTTTCATAAATATAATACGCAATACCTGTTTTAACCTTAATAAATCCAAACAATTATACTAAAATATGATACTCAAAAATTGAGTTAAGTTATAATTTAAGCTGACAAAGTTAAAATCAATAACAAAAATTCTCAATATATAATAAAAAATTTCAGAAATTTAATAATATGATGTTAGATATCATTTATAATGCTATTAATTTTATCAAATTTATTGAGAAATAAATATTTAAGCCATACAAATTAATATATTACTATTTATTTTACTTATATAATATTATAATAAATTAATAGCGGAGTTAAGTTATAATACGTTTTTTTTATAGATAAATCAATATAATCTATATAAGATAAGTTGATATTTTATTCATAAGTTTCTGAATAATAATAGATAATTCTAAAATATTCATTTTTTTATTACCGTCATTTTATAGGTATAATTGAAATTCATACATTAGTTTTTATTTTTAAGTACCTATATTATATAAGTTATACAATATTTATACTTATATCAACTTAACATAAATTTTGTCACATTATCAGTATTTTTAAATGACGAATTTTTTATGACTTCTGAGGATATTTTGATATAATATTTTTTTTTTTATTTCGAACTGTATACCTCTCCAGTGCACCCGGTGTGTTTGATTACGAGTAAATTCTGCACCACTTTTCCTTTCTCTTTCGCACACATACACACACAATAAATACATATAGCTCGAAAACAACTGCCGGGGGAACGATAAATAAATTTAGGGAAAGTTTTGGTTTTGGCGCCCAACAACCTTGCCCCCTCCTTAACGTACCTCCTACGAATCCTTAGCCCATGCGTAATTTAATAGTTTCCATCCTACCCTGACTAGTGACGGCAGCAGCGGTGATTTAGCCCTACTCTGGGTTGCAGGGCAAAAACTCATAATTCACGATATTGCCAAATGTATGTGCATGTATACTGAAACCCTCTTAAACACACCCCTTTTACAGAAATAGGTGACCTGTGACGCCAGAATTTCTAAACAGAAAGATTTTATAGAGAGAAAAATTATTTAAGATAAATGTTATAGGACATAATATTGAACTCAAACTGTGTAATTTGACCAAATATTAATATTGATAGCTGATATTAACCGCAAAAAAATAAATTTTAATCAAAAATAAATCTTTAGTTAAGTCACTTAATACAATATGAAATGTAATAAGTATACATTTTTAAAAAATAATAAATTAGGTATGCATATTACATATACTTAACTAGGTAGTATAGGTACTTAAAAAATAAGATAAAAACGTATAAAGCTAATAAATTATAATTTATACTAGTTATCATTTAAAACACTGGTTCCCAAACTGGAAGGCGTGTACACATTGTTAGGAAGGCGCAAGCAATTACTACGAAATAAAATTTTTATTTTAAAATGTAAAGAAAAAAATAAATAATTGACCAGTTCCTTTTATCCGTTATCGGGTATCAATAACGGATAACCGATAAATTATCATCAACAAAAAAATAGTCATTCCGAATATTGAATAGTTTATTTGTTAAGTACACGAAAAAAAGGTGATTGATTTTTTTCAATTTATAGAAAGGGAGCGCGAGATTTTTGAAAATATACAAAGAGAGCGTAGAATAGAAAAAGGTTAGGAACCACTGATTTAAAACGATCGAACACAATAAATGTCTTAGATTGAATTTATCAAAAACATACTTATTCAATATTCAACATTCATAATTTCCTATTTTTAAACAAATAATTATTTTACGTTTTCCTTGTACAGAAATATGAATTTTCAGTCTTAAATTTACCTGTATACTAGAGATATTTTTCTTTTGTACATACACACTACATATTCTATTAAAATATTATATTATTATGTCTATTATACGAATTTAATATACACTTTGATAAATGTGTCTATTTAACGTTTTTATTTTTTATCATCCATTTCAAAATGAATATAAATTTAAAATTATTCATCTGTTAGTTTTGTCAAGCTTTTTTTGTGGAGTGTTAAAAATTTTACTTTTATCTATTTTCTATTAATCTGTTATATTTGTATAACTCAATCGTTCTTACTTGAAAAAAATCCAGTCATCACACATATTTTAAGTTTAACAATTATACATTAAAAACCAAGTTAATGAATTAGCCATATTCTAAAAATAAGTTACATTTCAAATAAAAACAAAAGTAATAATTATAATCTATTATGTTTAGTTTAATAATATCGATCTATTACAGTAATAAAAATGAAAAATTTTGTTTTTTTATTTAAATCTGGATTGTAGTATATGTATATTTTTTATGCTATACTTCTGATATATTCTATAATATTATCAAGTTTTAGTAATCCCTTACAGTCAACAGTTTATTGGATGCAAGTTCAAACTATACAAGCTATTACATGAAAAAAAAAAAAACAGTTGACATATTGGTTAAAGTGTGTGATTTTTAATATACACTAATATACAATGAGAAGTGATTTCATATTAAACAGAAAAACTATTCTAAATCCCCCCAAAAAACCTTTTAACATTTTGATGTGCGTGTGGGTGTGTGCACGTGTACGTATGTGTGAATGTGTGTGCTAGTAATTTTAAACTGTCAGCATTTGTTTATTTGGCTGTCGAAGTAGTTGATGAAAACAGTTGAAATTTAAAACGAAAGCGACATATTTGATTCTTCGGACTTCCTGTGTTCCAATAAAAAACACGTAACAAAAACAAATAAAAGTGTAGGTTTGTTCAACAACTTTTATGATTTAAACAAATAAATTACATCCGTTTCAAAAACATTTATTCAGTTATTATTTAATATATATTTATGAAATAATATTAATGTTTTCAAACAAACAACATGGTTTATTCTTAATCAATATATTTAATAAATACTAATAAAATTGTAATTGCAATTTAATTTTTTGACGTTAAAACATTAAGATTTTTTTTTTAAAATGTTTAATGTATTAAGATAATATCATTGTTTATTGACATGTCATGATAAAATAAAATGCTTAAAAATAATATTATTTTAATTGTATTTATAGATACAAAATTATTTTACTAATTGTTTATTAAAAAATAATATAACAGCTACATATTTATCCTGTCCAAGTAAACATGTAATTAAATACTTAATAACACTGTTTTTAAATATTATCAAAAACTTCTGCTGAAATCTCTGTCTATTATAAATATTTATACTATTATTAACAATTACTTCATTTATTTTATATAGTTTATAGATTTAGATGGCATTAAATATTGTAAAAGTATTAAAATTGTTTTTATCCCTGTATGGGATATATATTCTATGGTTACGTGTCTTATGAGTTATGAATAGATATCGATTAAAAAATATACCTTAACTATATCAAAGCATCGTATTGCTATGTATCTAGTTAAACTAAATTTTAACGTAAATATAGCAACATGTGAACGTTTTAGAAATACTTTAGCGTATAATTGCACTAGAAAAAAAAAAATACTCAAAAAAAGTCACTTAAAGTAGCATTAATTAACGTCGACAATGAAGACGTATTTTAATACAAAAATTTAATTTTAAACTTGAATGAGAAAATATAAGAAAACTAAATAATAAGATAAAAAAAAAAAAAAAAACAGAATACTCTCCAACGTTACATCGAGGTAGTAGTGGGACCTATATATGTATGTGCATAAAACAGGCTGTGTGAAAACAGGTCACGTTGAATGGAACAAGGGACACATACATATACTATTGTGCACTCAACACGTCTTAGTTTAATTAAACGACAACCGTAGGTGGGCCAGTAGCAAGTTGGTGCGGTAGTGAGGAACAACAGACAGGTACTTGAGTCCATTGTCGGATTATTCAGATTTATTTAGGTTACGTGCGAGCTTAATGGCAAACGGTAAACAATGATTACCAACGAGTTTAGCGACTCGGAAACCTACGTTGTTCGAAGAGCTTTTATCATGTTTAAATATCAGAAATGGCCTAGACAACAACAACTGAATCTGATTTTGAAACGGCTTTATTTTGGTCCACGAGACGAGTTGAACTGCATACTATATAATTGAATTGAACCATAAAAACCAACTCATTTTCATAAACATATTAGACAACTGATATTATCTTATTGCATGATTAATGTGACTTTTTTGAGATAACTGAATAAAAGAACTTTTAATAATTAAATATACTAAACAATACGATATTATGTTTAGATAATTAAAACTGTTTAATTATCAAAACTTGTATTACGCGTTGTATAAAAAAGATAAAAAGTAAACTTGAGTCAAATAATTCAATTGTTTTAAAAAATATATTATTATATAATAATATTAATAAATAAACAATAATTATTTTAATAGTATTAAATAATGAAAATGCTTATTTATTTTATTTTTATCTAAAACACAAACATACTTGATATATTACAAAATTAATACAATACATGAAATTCCTTGATTAATTAAAATTAATAATGAACAACGACAGAAAATTCTGGTTTATAAATACCCAATTTATTAACTGCATTATCAAAATTCAAAAATAATACAGAATTAAGAAAATCATATTATAGTTCCAAAAATATAATTGATAACTTTAAATTTATTCATCAAATTTTTAAATTGAAATATAGATAAAAATGTA